CTGCTGCCAAAGTCTTCATCCTTTCGGAAGCCTTCCAACCCCACGCGCTTTGGTGGTCCCTTCTGGATGGTGTTTCCAGGGGTTTTCTCCTCCCTCCTGCTGCTGAAATAAACCCAAACCTCACGCCAGGGTTTGAAACCTTTTATTTTATACATAAAAACGAGGAGTGGGGACAACACCGCTTCCAGCTTTGGTGTGTCATCTTGGAGGAACGTTCACAGTGGTGAAGGTGGAGGAGATCCAGCAGCCTAGGGCACAGGGGGCTTAACCACCAGGGTGTCGTGACAGGCCACGGCGATGCCCCCGATGAGGTTGAGGAACTCGGGGAAGTCCAACTGCCCGTCGCTGTTCAAATCCAGTTTCTTCATCATCCTGTCCAGCACCGCCGGGTCCTTCTGGTTCTGCAAAAGGCCAAGGGGGTTGGGAATCAATGGCTGCCTGGAGGCCCAGGTGCCCCTCCTTGAACCCTCCCAGCCCCAGGATGGTCCTTCATCATCAGGATGAGGTACTCAACTCTTGTTGGGCCACGCTCTGGCTTCTACTTGGAGTGAGCTCCTTCCATTGCCCACCCCACGGCGATTGTGGGGTCAGGGGCTCTAATCCCTCTTTAGGGGTGTTGAAGCGCGTCCCACGGGAGGTTCTTCCAACCTGGGGTTTTGCTCACCTTTGTGAAAGCCGCCAGCTCGGTGTTCATGAAGGCCAGGAACTCCCTTTTGGAGAGGGTGGTGTTGTCCCCTTCCCGTCCCGCGTAGCGCTGGAAAACGGCCAAGAGGGACTCGATGCAGCGCTCGGTCTCCGTGGGCTGCGGGGAAGGAAGGAGCAGGTTCAGGAGAACATCCTCGAGGCTCGAAGAATCATAGAATCATAGAATGGTCTAGGTTGGAAGAGACTCTTGGGATCATGGAGTCCAACCATCTCCCCTACTCTCCAAAGTCCTCCCCTACACCATGTCCCTCAGCACTGCATCTAAACGGCCCTTAAACACAGCCAGGGATGGGGACTCCACCCCCTCCCTGGGCAGCCTGTTCCAACGCCCGACCACTCTTTGGGTGAAAAATTCCTTCCTAATGTTCAATCTAAACCTCCCCTGGTGGAGCTTGAAGCCGTTCCCTCTCGTTCTGTCACTAATGACCTGTGAGAAGAGACCAGCACCAACCTCTCTACAGTGTCCTTTCAAGGAGTTGTAGAGAGTGATGAGGTCTCCCCTCAGCCTCCTCTTCCTCAAACTAAACAGTTCCACCTCTTTCAATCACTCTTCATAAGATTTTATTCTCCAGCCCCCTCACCAGCTTCGTTGCCCTCCTCTGCACTCGCTCCAGCACCTCCAGATCTCTCTTGGATTGAGGTGCCCAAAACTGGACACAACACTCGAGGTGTGGCCTCCCCAGTGCTGAGAAAGAAGGAGGAACCTCCGCTATTTTTGGAGGAAATTTGGGTTCGGGGGGGGACCCAGTGCTGAGAAAGAAGGAGGAACCTCCGCTATTTCTGGAGGAAATTTGGGTTCGGGGGGGGACGGACCCCTCCTGCAATGGCTCCCCTCCCCTCCCAGGCCTCTCCTCTGCCCAAACCTGTCCAACTACATTTTTTCTTCCGTCTTAATTTCTCCACTTCCTTGGCGGGGCCTCCTGGTGCAGGAGGGACCCAGAGGAACCATGGAGGAGGGGGGGGAGTGGTGGATGGAAAATCCCCTGGGGCCACTGGCAGCTCCCAGTTTGGAGGAGTGTTCTTGGACTGGGAAGAGCTTTTTGCTGCTGCAACCATGGGGATGGGTTGTGTGTGTCCCCCCCCCCCTTTTTCCTCCCCCCAAACCCTGCCCTCTCCGGATGGTGGAGAAACTCTGAGTCACGCTGGAAAAATGCGAGCGGAGTTTGGCTCCCCAAACTGCAGCCTCCGGGCTGGGACGGAGCTGGGATGGACTGGGGGAGCTGGGATGGACTGGGGGAGATGGGGGGGAGAGGGGAATGTGGGGCTT